ACATTAAAATGGACTCTAACACCAACAATTTAAAGAAAGATACCGAGAATAACCCGGTATATAATTCTATTATTAATTCTTTGACGCGACATAGTTATTTATTTATTTCTTTCCCGTTTCTTCTCGGTGTTTGACCTAGACATTTTATCACACTGACACTCGCGACAGTCATTCTCCGGCTATGGTAGACATTGTACATATTTTATCTTGTGCCGTTAATTTTATAATCATGACCCAACTCTGTTTTAATATTTACCGTTCAATTACATGTTACAACGACTCGATTAATTTTTAAGGTAAGTGACTGGTCGATGATTTATTTCCAATTTGTTATTTACGTATCCACTTGACAAACCATATCTTTTATTGTACTCGTTGTATGCGATTGAGTCTCATTTATCTGTATCTATGATACGCGTGTAACTCCGATTATTGGTTTGTTCGCTTTAGAATGTGTGCTTGATAAAGACCTAAACCCTTGGTCGAAACGTCGCACTGTATATAGTTTTTACTTTTAATTTATGAAACACGTGCCAGTTAAAGTCGACTAAACTTATCCATTGTTATTTGTTACTGGCAATCTAAAGGGATTATCATGTTTATATCTGTTTTATGTTAATTCTACATTGAAATAATAATCAAGAAAATTTTAACATTTCAACACACGATTTTTTACGGTGTCGGTACAAATAATAGACTGTGAGCAAATATTTAGAAGGCGAGAAACGTTTAAGCTTCTAGCATGTTTCGTATGCGTACAGAATATTCAAAGATCGTGAATGCTCGACATCGTATTTGATAAAAGCGGCGGAAAATAAGATACTTTAGGAAAGAGGAAGTGCAATTATCCGGGCAACGTGTTGTCTTTTTTTTTGTCGAAGTTTAATACTTTCTGGAAGTTTTACGATCCATCGTTGTCATAATGAGACGCCTTATTACTTTGACCTAGGTCAAACTCTACCTATCCCGGGTAGATTCTTTCTCCCGACGTGACTTTCGTAGCCAACCAGCTGCCAGCGGCGAAGTTACCTTCCTCCATTTCGCATTTGATATTTTAATAACGAGAAAAACATCGTTCAAGTAGCATTAAGCTACCCAACGATCCTTTTATGAATGGAACAAGCGCATATAAGACAAGCGAAATAAACAACGTATGCAAATAATGGCATGATATTTCCCCGATGAAAACTTGTGCAACGTTTCGTTACATATTTTTCTTTTCCGTTTCAAATGTTAAAATTTTCTTGCGTTACCACGATTTGATTATTATGTCAATGTAAAATTAACCTAAACCAGACATGTTATTATTTTCGCAACACTTTAATGCGTTATATTTATGTTAATATAATAACTTGACATTTTATGTACGTTACTTAAAAATTGAATATTATTTTGAGTTCTTTTAACACAACTATTTCACAAAATCAACCAAGACATGTAATATCGACATTTTTGAAAAATTATTTCAACTATTCTAATTTGTGACTATTCGTACGGTTTACTTATTCTGTCCGGTTTGATTACATCATACTTAAAGTTAAAATAACATAAACATAAATGTGAAGTGTAGTGTTGATTAATTAACATTTATTATTTGTCAAAAAGTAACACACACGATGAATGTTATTTTAACTTAAGATATAGAGTGGACCTTCTGGGACATGTGAGAAATGTTAACGTTAACATTTTATCTTTTACTGTGTACGATTCTTTATCTCCGACATGGATCTCGCGATCTTCTAACGGAACGCACGCGATACCTATGTCGATGCACCGTGCACCGTGCGCACGGGCATTGTCGGGGGTGAAAATCGTGCGAGCGGAGCGAGGTATCGATCGATATTTCCAGGGCGCACTTATTGTATGCGCGATTAATAATAGTTATTGGGCGCGAGAGCTTTTGGCGCGCGCCGTATCGCGCCAGGAAGATAAATTCCTCGGAGGATGCGCGGACCTTGAAGCGGGCGGAATTTCCACGGCGAGCACATGGGCCGCCTCTCTAATGGCTACCCGATGAAATATGTACGGCGGGCTGCGGAGCATAACCATTTCCAAAATCCCCCCGTTCGCGCGCGGCGACCCAGATATACACGTGCGCGCATTACGTATACACAACTTCGAGACGACTCGTACGGACGCGCCGTACGCAAAACGATGCATTATGCTGTCGCATTAGCCTGGCTCTTAGCCCATGCCGCATAACAAATGCCGCGCTAACAATGCTCGCCGGGTCCTCGCTTTGCGATAATGACATCGAAGGTGAAGTATTCGCGCATGGCCGATAATTTTCTAGTTTCGCATGGCGCACTGTGCCAGGCTGTTTGTTCCCGTTGCTCGATCCGTTTACCTTGGATCCAGTTCTCCGCGCCGCGCTAAAAGCGCATTCCGAATGCTCGATGCTTCTAATAAGTTCCAGCTGAGAAGACAAATGGGGCAATCACCCGGATTCAAGTTTTATTCGGAAGACGTGTTTTCTCTTTTATAAAGTAGCGCCGAACTGTACCATGATCTGTGTCAGGGCGCCGCAAATCGGCAAGGAATTTTCGAGCGTTTAGAATATTTTGTATATGTCAGTTTCAAACTTGCTAATTAAAATTCAGCGCATCGGTACAACTGACAGTCACGCCCGGAAAGAAGTTTGCTCGAAATCGCACAAATTTTCTTTCAATTTTCACCTTACGAGACTTTCATTTAATTTCAAAGAAACGATCTCTTTAATCAAAAAATTGTATTCTATTGAGACTGCAATTTCTAAGAGAATTCATATCTATTTCTTCAAGTCTAACAAATGTTTTAGTACAAATAAATATAAATTTAGTAGATTCAAAAAATCAGGATTTCAACGTATCTCGATTGTTTAACCCAATTAAATCTTTTTCCCGGTTGCATGTAATTTTCATGATCAACGATCTCTGAAATGTACGTTGCTACATTTTACTGGCGGACTGAGAGCGCGTAACATCGAGGAACCGCGGCGAAGTTAAAGTTCGGTATTGAAACTTGTATCAATGGAAACCGTGCCCGCATTTCCTCGGGCCGCTTGCCAAGAACTGATCCCCGTGCAAATAGAAGTTACATGAAACATAACGCGCCGAGGAAGTTGGCTACGCGATCTGTTTCGTCCAATATTAAACGAATAAGACTATGCCGCAGGAAAATCGTTGAAGAAATTCTGGCAATGATACGATACTGTTTTCTCATTTCTTGTTCGATCGTGCATCGCTCAAGCAGCAATAATAAAAAATACGTATCGATGCATCCTTTCATTCGTGCACGTTTTCAAGTGCGACTCGCTGTCTCTGTACGTAATTTATTGCCGATAAAATCGAGTGATATATAATAATGCAATCTTTAAACATGTCTCACAATGAACTCGATGCAACCCGTGGAGAATAATGGAGGAGGAGGAAGGAAAACAGGAAGTTAAGTCTTCCTCTGCATGCCGATGAAGAGACGAAAAAAAATGACACCGCTCAGTGAAAACAACAACGAGAAAGCGGCACGACTCTCAAAGAAGCCAAAGGAGAGGAGCACCTGCTAGATTTACCCTGTCTCCGACAACGTTCTTCCGGTTCCGGTACGTGTGATTGCGACTGCAACGTTACACGTTCTCACCGGATGTCAATAGGAAGCAATTCGTGTTGCATCGACACTCTCTAATACGGCACTTTTTACGTCAATCATTACGATTTTCTATCGCGAGATATTAATATAATTTTCATCGTGTTAAAATTAATTATTTTTACAATCCCCGTTTACTTTTTAATTAATTTTTACAAAAATTTCTCAGTGTATATTTTATGAAACTTCAATTGCAAAACATTTGCTCGGGCCTTTAAACGTGTCGAGTTTAAACTTTTTAAAGCAATCACGGCAGATGATTACGAGATGATTACGGAAAATGGAGGAGTAACCTCGCGTTCAGGAAGAAAATTAACCTGGAACGGAAGGACATACGACGCGCGTACGAACGCCGAAGGACAAGACGCGCCTCCGGTACTCGGAAAGAAGATAACGAGACAAAGACGAAGAAACGCGTGCTGCATTCGTTGCATGTCCGAGGCTCATGCGTGTCGGCGCGTACGTAACGCACGGAACGGCCGGAAACGCACTCGTCGGCTTAAGCTACGAACAAGCTGTGTCCATGAGTGGCGGCCGCATATGCGGCAATTTGAATAATTAACGGGCACGGGGTGCCCGAACGCGCGGGAGATATATCTCCCCGCGAGACGAATGCGTTTGCCAACCGACGGACCGAGAAATAAGGGTCACTCGGTTATATCGTTGATAAAAACAAAGGTGAATTACTGCTAAATTATTTATATCGGGGGAATAAGAAAAAACTGCCGTGGCCTTTCTAACGATCGTAGACCGAGCCGACCTCGGCGAGCGCGGCGGCAAAATAGAAAAATTAGCGATTTTTCACGAACTGCAATTGCCGGTGCAATTTGCACAATGCACGAATTTCAATGGTTTTGTTGCGTAAAGCGGTGTTACGTTCATGAACAATGCGCTAAAAGGCTCGAATTCTCAACGGTTGCGGCTGGAGGTCGTTAGATTTGGACTTTCATGATGCTATAAATTGCATTGAATTATACGGCACGAATGAAATTAATGATTGAGTCGATTAATTACGCATGAAAAATTAAGCGGTTCTTGTTGCTGCATTTCCATTAACAAGTGAGAGAGCTGACGAATCGATTCCAATATTCTGTTATGTTAATTCCAACGGAATCGCCGCATCGTATTCGCGCTCGATTTTTCCGCTCTTAATCGTTGCGAATACCGCAAGATTCTGCCTTTCGAAGCAACGAACAATCGTAAATACGCAGTGAATCGCGCATATTGAACGCCTCCGATCTTTCCACGATCGTCGACGGCGTTATTTCTCGGAGAACAATCGCGTTTGTAATTAACATTCCCAGGAAACGGCCTGGTAGCACGCTTGATTGTAAAATTGATATTAGCGCTAATTAACTTCGTAGACTGATTAACTTTACCTTCATTGTCAATCTGCTGTACTATTATTTGCGGTGGAAAGGCTCTTGGCAAAGACTGGGACTTTAACTCACCTGTAACAAAAAAAACAATACAAGATATTATCAGAAAGGCCAGTTTTACAGTGATTAATGATCGTTTATGGTCAGAGCAGAATGCAATCGAAACAGTTACGCAAGTATACGTTGCAATTACATCTTCTATTTTTAAATAAAAAATTCTTTCCTGGAATGAAAATTTACGTTGATCCAGACAAAATATTAACATTGATCTTAATTTTTATAGAAATTATCATCTTAATCTCTCTTTTCGTACTAACAATTTTTCAGTATATATTTTATGAAACTTTAATCCTAAAACATTTGCTGAAAGTCTTTAACGTAGTTGTTTCGCGACAGCAATGCTCAAAAGTTTCTTCCGGACAGGAACCAGCACTCAATTATTACAATGATATATCTTGATGCTATATTATTCTAAAGAATACACTCACGATTAATACATAATATAAAATAGATTCGAAAGATTATAGTTTAGGGCGCTGTTGCTTTATCTGTTACACTACACTCATGTCTACTACATAATTCTTACCATTTTTCAGTTTTAACTGTTTACATTGTTGAAACAAAACGGTCAATAATTTTAATTTCTTTTCAAATTATTCATTCTATTTTACATTATAACATATTCGTTTCTCATACGAATCTCACTCACCGTTAAGAAAAAAAAATATGCCATCATTTGCATTTGCAAACGCAAATATTAATATAATATTATATTACATAATAATTTGTATAAATAATATTCCACGTGTAATAATATTGCAACGAATTATATTGTTACGTGTAATAATATTTTTAACGTGCTTTACACGTAATATTTCGCGTAACATAGCAAACTTTAACATTTTTTTTAGAACTGTGAGACGGTCAATTTTAATTTAATTGGTCTTAATTTGCACGTATTATTGTAAGGAATAAACTGTAAAAATTTGAAACAATTCTCACACAAATGATTTTACGAAATAACTGTCTTAAACACACACACATGTCGGGTTTAAATTAAAAATTTTAAATTCTCTTCGGTGCTACCGATAGCATATTTTCAAATGTTATTCTTTTTCTAACAAATCGACGGAACTCTTCCTAAAGCCTATGAGAAACAGTACAACTATCGCCGATGCAAACTTTCGGTTTTTGAAACTGGGGTGCTAACTTCCAAGTGGTGACGCTGATAAAATAAATTTGTAACACGAGTAAAGCTTTGTGCAGGTATAACATTGATCAATCTAGAACGATATTTATTATCCCCGATGTCTCTTTATTGGGGACCATTTATTTGTTAAATCGCTGAGTCAAGGAAAGCAAACTTGACCCTCGACGCCTGCCAGCCTGAATCTAGCAGAGCGCTCGCATTTACGCGCTCCTCGGAAGTGTCGCGACGGATTATCTCCAATCGCGCGGGTGGAGACCGGAGGCAGGGATGCAACGTCCCTCGAGTTCGTGTATACTTCGTGGGCACCCCACATGAAAATTAACGAAGGCGTTTTCATTGAAGTCCGGGTCAAGCACCGCGACGCACGATCGGACGTGCTTACTGGCTGAACCCAATCTGGTCAATTAAACCAATTTCGGCGACCCTTCGGCCCTGTCCGAAACTATCGGTGATTTTCCCCCGCGTCCTTTCGCAGGGCAGAACGCACGCGCCCACGCACACGCTCCTGCGGATCACGAGACACGATCGCGGAGCGAACGTACGCGTTCGTGCGAACGTTTACGCGGAGAACGTATACGTGCGGAATTACATAAACTAATTAAGGCCTCTTCATCACGTCTGTTGATCTGCCGGGTCAATCTCGCGCTCGTTTGCAACACTTTACGCGATGGAACGCGCTAACGAAGATTGCCGCGACGCAGGTGAAAAACCGCGACTGTGTGTTACGCGGGCGGTTTTTAGGATAGAATTATCTGTGCGGATGCGAGAAATTCGGTATCGTGAATGCGCTCGTTGCTGTATTTTCCATTGGGTAAATACGGCTTTTCGTAATTACACGCGGCAACGACGTAAATTAATTTAGCACCATGGAGGAACAGGCCGGGCACAATATCGCGAATTATTTTAACGCAGTGACGCATGAATAAAGCCAACGCCGTTACCGCTCATTTTGTGTTATTTCTCTCATTGCAGCCCTTCTCCCATCTCTTTCTCTCGTCCTGCCCGTAATTATATTTATTCCATATTTCACTCATTCGCGTTTGTCAGTGAGATTAATTTATGGTCCACTAATTATTAAAATTATTCATTTAAGTCGCGAAAACAAATACGCATTTGGAGTGAACGGATAGTTTCCGTAGCTTCGCTAGGAACGATAATGTCTCCTACGCGAAATTTAACGTTGCGATAAATAAGGTCGCCGGTAATTAAATCACCTTTGACTTTTGCTCATTGCACGCGTAAACCGGCGATTCATCTCGCGTGAGGCTACTTTTCATTGGACGTCCTGGTGAGTAATTCGCCAACTGGCCAGTTACTTCACGGTTATGAAATATCGGTTCGTGAAAAATCAACATGTAATATTAGCCTGCCATTTTCTTAAGACAAAAATGCACGTTCATTAAAATCGCAGTAAAAGCTGGTTTGGAACATCCGTAGTTGTTTTGTTGCACGTAAGTTAGTGCCGAGTTGAGAAGTGCTGCAAACTTATTTTAAATTAAATTGTAATCTGCACTGTATGAATTAATTATCTGCGTTACACATACGAGCGTTGCTCTTAATAGCGAAAACTATATTTTACATATAATCGTGTAACGTAAGCTGTGTTAAGTCGCGAAATTCGATCTTTAATGTTGTCAAGAAAATAATAATAAAATGCGAGTGCTGAAAGTACCGGGAGTAATTAATTTTAACTATCCTCCAAGTCGTGCGATAAGGATCTGCAGGAGCGTATATTCGCGTGTCAAAAGGCACGTTGTCGCCGCGCTTGTCATTATGTTACTTAGAATAGGATAACTTCTTCTCTTCTCTTATAACCGTTACGGATTGTTAATTCCATGTTTCTGCGCGTCGCGCGGTTCTATGTTATCTCGAATCTTCTGAAATCGGTAACGCTTCTCACGTTGCGCAACGATTAGAATACGGTGAGAGAAACGGATGAGGCCTCGAAATAAAGGAGATCACGTTAGAAGAGATCGCGAGATCATCCGTTTCTTACGAAACGCATCGCCTCTCTTCATATTTGTTGCGCCTCTCTCTCTCTCTCTCTCTCTCTCTCTCTCTCTCTCTCTCTCTCTCTCTCTGCTTGCTAGAGCATTTAAGAAATAAACTAAAAGTAGTAGGTAGTGGAGGAGTAAGACAACCTGGACAGGCAGGAGATATTGTAATTCAATTTCGTAAAACCAGAAGTGCGCAAAAACGTATGTTCTATGAAGGAGTGAAACTGTACAATGTGTTACTCGACGTTAATACTCAAGCAACTCTCCCGAGAGCAAAAAGATCGTCGTTCGCTGCCCGTCGCTTTTACTCTTCCACGAAATCGCCTTTGCCGTTGGCGCAAATGAAATTAATCGCCATAGGGCGAAACCAGGTCATAGTGCGTAACGAGATGATCTTTTGTGCTCCGTCAAATGGCATATAATATCATTAATTTTATACATTATAGTACATACAATTGAGTTTAGCTTCGACAGGAGATGGAATTTTACGCGAACAGTTCGTTCAATATAATGGAGATTATATTATATTTGCTATAATTTGAAGAGAATATGAACGAAATTAATTGCCGAGAATAATATACGTATAAACACAAATCACTTATATATTATTTAGAATAAAATTGCTATATCATTTATTCAGCGTCAAACGCAATTTAATTAATTTACCATTAACCTTTAATTTACATCTACGCGAACTGATCCTTATCCACAAATTATGTATAGCCAATTAACAACTCGCAAATTTAGTAACATTGATTACAATTAATTACAATAATGTAATTATACGAATTTGCATTACTTTGATCTTTAACTGTAATCTATTTATGGCAAACATCTCTAATACAATCCTGCTCGACTGATTGTAGGGTAATACATTGGTAGATTAATAAAATTTGATTCATTTACTACTCGATGTTCATGCATTTAATTTGTATAATTAACAAGAGGGTTGGCGAACGAGTGAAACGCGAGAGGCTCGAGAGATACCAAGGATATTCCTCGGCTGTAACTGCACACCGGTTGTCTTTTTCTGGTTGAGAAACCGGGACACGTTTTTCCTCTCGCTTCGTGAATTGAATCTGCTCGCGTTTCTTGGTCATTGTTTCGCGTTCTCTGCATTTTGAACTGCAGCCTCTCCGCCTCTTTTGCGTAATCCGGTGAAAGCCGCATTCATTGCGCACTTCTGCCAATTTCCACGCGCTCGGTCTACTTCCGTCGTCCTAATCTGCGCGAGATCTTGAAGAAATCTCCCATGCTTAGCAATGCTTAAGGATCTGCAAAGCGCGAGGAAAATTGCTGCGACGGGGTGTGAGATAAGTAACGCATTTCGCAGATTACCCTTCACCATTTTCAATTGTGTTTCCTATGAATTTCGTAGTGCAATCATAGCCTTTCACTTTCGCAGGGAAAACTCTCGATAATGTGCAAATACCGAAAAACGAACGGTATTTTAGTACGCGCGGTTCATTCTTTCGCATTTCGTCGATTATTCTGTTCTAGCTGTTATTTTCATTTACATTGTTGTTTGGAATTACTATTCAACGTACAGTGACGGACAGAATGGTTGCGACAGATTCGAGATTACGTTTCAGAACATTTTCCTTAAGGAAAATTTTAATACTCGATAAATAAATCGGAAACGCTCAAAATGGTTTCGGAATGGCCGCCGAGTAAAATATTCCTTGGAGAAGATTTTGGAACGTAAGCCTGAATCTAAATGCAACTTTCTAAACTCATTAAAAAAGAGTGTAGCAACTATTTTGTCCATCACTGTACAGTGCACCCACAGAAAAAATTTCAGGATCCAATGCATCAAATGAAATTACACTTCAATGTATCATAAAATAGGATCGATATAGCGCAAATCATATTTATTATAGAGAAAGGGATATTTTAATCTTAAATGAAAAATTCTAAAATCTAGAATAAAATATACTATCTAGAATAAAATATACTACGTATCGTCTTTTGTCGAATATCGTGGTGCCAACTTCGTGCGTTGTAAGATGGAGGGAAAATTTACTCTAAACGCAGGAATATATAAACTTACATTTATATAAGTTACTCTTGTCTCAATAAAGTAAGTCAATCTTTTTTAATTCGATAGAGGAGAATAAGAATTATTGATTTTATTTTAATATTGTCTTATTTTTATACTATTATAAATGAGGTTGTGAGAAATGTAAATGCGTCAAGAATATTTTTTGTCTCAGTAATAGAAATCCTTTTTGAGGGTGTGGTGGATGGACAGAATGGTTGCGACACTTTTCGTAATGAGCGTAAGAACGCGCATTTAGATTCGAGATTACGTTTCGAAATATATTTTCTAAGGAAAATTTTACTCGAGAAATAGACCGGAAACGCTCAACATGGTTTCGGAATGGCTGTCGAGTAAAATATTCCTCGGAGAAGAAGATCTTGGAACGTCTGAAAGCCTGAATCTAAATGCACGTTTCTAAACTCGTTGAAAAAAAAAATTGCAACCATGCTGTCCATTACTGTACATGTCTCCCACAAATTTTACGCGAATCACATAGCTGTCAATTGAGACTTCATATCGAGAAATCCGTCATTCAATCGAGTGCAATGTAAAATATTCCGTTGCGTATGGAGTAAACAAAGCGAGCGTGTTCATACTCATTCCATCTGCGATTTCTCATTTCAGTTTTGCGGATGACCCGCCTATATGGGTCATAGTTTGCGCGCACGAGTGCCGCAATACTGCCCGCACAACTGCATTGAAAAACTCCCTTTGCCCGCGAACCCGAAATTCCGCTCGTTTCGTGTAACGGCGACCGTAGATTTATTCTATATTGCGGCTTTCGCAGCAGTTCCCGTCTCATTCGATCGACGAAACGCGTAAAAATACCGCTGGCTCGATTCCAGCCGTCCGATCTTCTCGCGTAAACACTATATAGAAAAATCGTTCTACCATCTTTCCGCATGATCGTCATGAGAAAAACAACGTCTTTCTAGACGTATGAATCCAACGAATAATAGAGCGACTGAATACGATCATCTGGGGCCAGAAAATAGACTGCTTGTTCGTAGAACTTGTTATTATCGAAGCGAACGCTCGGAAAGATCGACAAATACCAGAAGTTCCCTCGGTTATGATCGCAACAAAATCATATGTACATTTTTTACAAGATGATATTTCTAAAAATACGTTTACGCGGGGGCACACTTACACTCCACGAACAGATGATTGCTATCATCCTCGCGCAACGAAGACAATTCTGGATCCAAGGTATGTCTGTGTTGGGAGCCTCTTCTTGGCAACGTAGTAACTCGTCGTAATAACGGCGCTGTACGGACATTATATTTGCGTTGACAAAAGTTATGAAAGTGTAAAAAAGCATAAGCGCAGCCTTGCCAGCAGAACTATATGTGTCAAGCATACATAGATAAGAAAAATAAGATAAGCTACGCTACTTGTATTTAGTACAAAGTGTTGTCAAATTAACATAAATGTTTCCAAGTTAGTAAAAAGTAAAGTGCGATTCGAAAGAACGCTTGTGCGATATCTTGTCAATTTTTTTGTTCTTTTACAAAGGCAAAAATATATAGTACTTTTTAGGTAAATATGCACGAGGAGAGAATCTTCTCTTAAAATTTACCCTGAAAATCGTGTAATCGTGGGACAACGTGGCATTTTGAACAACTTTATGAGAGTTTTTTGAAAGTTCACCATACATTTTACTAGTAAAACGTATACTAACAATAATTACTAGTGAAATGTATGGTAAAATTTCAAAAAAACTATCATACAATTCTACGAAATGCCGTATTGTTCCACGATTACAATATTTTCAGGATAAATTGTAAAAATACATTCTCTCCGTGTAGCAAAGTCTAAAGTGGATGTATTGTTATTCATATTAACAATGTCTGATGTTTTAATAAGTCGTGCGTGTTTGATAAGCGTCGATAGACTCACGAGACACCTTACGGATGGAAAACGGATATTGAAGCATCCTAAACATCCGGAAACTACGAGCACCGATCGATTGAGAACCGCTGTCGCAATCAGAAACCAGATAAGACCGACGGCAAAATACGGAAACGCTTCCGTAACTTTATCGCTTCACACACGTATCCGTACCGCGGACGCGGGTGCATCGATGGGAGGATACGAGAGGAGAGATGGGGAGAGAGAGAGAGAGAGAGAGAGAGAGAGAGAGAGAGAGAGAGAGAGAGAGAGAGAGAGAGAGAAAACAGATACTTGTAAGTACATACTGGCCTATTCATCCCCATCGGAATGACTGTGCGGTAATCTGCTGATATTGTTATACACGCACGTATATTGAAATGGGAAACTCAAAGTCAACCCAACTGGCTAGTTACTTTATTAGTTTACTACAACGTTTCGACCCTATTTTTTGGGTCCTTATCAAGTAGTACTGCAATTCAACAGCAAACGTAATTATAAAATATTGCAAGTTGATAAGTGAAACGGGTAGAAGTTAAGAAACGAACCTAAGCGAGTCATCGTCGTCACATAAGACAGAGTCGAATTATAAAATTTTATTTAAATCACACTGATCTTGTTAATACATCTTCTTTTTGTGCACAAATGGAAGCAAAATGCAACACTAGATCACTCGTCGTGATATTTTGAATAAAGCTATTCTATTCCTAATTCCATTGTATCCCCGCATTCTCCTCTTCTTGCGACAGCTCGTAAAAACGACGCTCTAATTGTGCGCTGTAAATGCTTATATCCAATCTCTGTTAAATACCATACATTCAACTTGAACAGAATCTCGATTACGAGAACAATGGGGTAACAAAATAAGATGACTAGCGAAATGGTTAAACTAGCAAAGATAAAATCAGTAAATTCGTGTCTTTTACATAAAACTGAAATTTTTCGTTCATCAAGCGATCAGCGATAAATTTGAAACAATATTCCACGTCATAAAGATAATAAATAACATTTTGAGAATGTCATCTTATGTTTTGGCAAAAACGATAATGACATAAACATGTGAAAATAAAATCGATAATCAATTCATGTTATCGCATCTAGTAATCGGATCACGTTGGTACATTGCGACACGCTGTTGAATTTAGATGCATTGTCGTCGACTGGATTGCACGATGTTGCTGGGTGTCATCGGTAGAACGCTGTAATAGCGCAGTTTCGTTAGAAAAAAAGGACAGGAGAAAGCGCGGCCAATTTCCAAATCACAATTACACGTATTTATAGCAAGCGCGCCATAAATTTACTTTCGAAGCCCGTAATGCCTGCGATTTATTTCGTCTGTACTTTTACCCTCTGTGCTGCATCCGCGATTTCATAATGCGCCGGCACACAGGTTCTTCCAGAAGAATAATTTTCAAAGACGAACCATTCTGTGATGCGCCACGCGCATTTGTGCAACGTAATAAAAACTTATTGTTAGTCCCGTTTATCTATTGGGTGCTTTTGCAATTAAACCGACAAATAAAAATTTTACAATTATCTCCAACTTGACTTTCCGAAGGACGATTAAAGGGCCCAAAGTTGCACAAACTTTCTGCAAAAGTTTATTTTGCAAAAATTAATTAGCAAATACAAAAGACACATTTCAATTTTGTAAAAGTCAAACTCGAGAGAATTTCAGCCATTTCGCGAAAGAAAAGAGCAATAAGGCGCGGCCCATAATGAGGAAAGACCATCAACTCGTCAACCACGCTGTATTTCCGGCGCGAAAACAAGCGGACGCGCTTGTACTCCTTGCCGTACAAGGCGATTGACTCATACGACAACGTAGGAGGAGCCAGACGAACCTAGCCCACTGCTCAATACGATGGTTCCGTTTGGAAACCAGATTCTCAACCGGTTCGTCCAATTACCTTATCGCAATATTATATGCACAATTTTATGATAGATAATCTTCTATTTTGTACATTATATTTTAAGAATATATTTTACCTATTAAATTGAGAGGCAAAGTAGTGTATATACCTTGTTCGAATTAAAAATTATAAGATAATAATGTAAAACAAGACAATAATAAAAGTGTTAACAAAATGTTACGTTTAAAATTGATCGTTGATCGCTTGATGAGAGAAAACTCGCGGTTTGATGCGAGAGAAACGAATTTACTGATTTCATCTCTGCTATTTCAACTATTTGGCTAGTCGTCTTATTTCGTTGCCCCATTGTTCTCAGTAATCGAGATTCCGTTCAGGTTGAGCGTATTTAACAGAGATTGGATATAAGCATTTACGGCGCATAATTAGAGCGTCGCTTTTACGAGCTGTCGCAAGAAGAAGAGAGTGCGGAGATACAATGGACTATTTCGGTTCTTAAAAGGCAAGCGGCACTCATAATTACCGCACTCCGATTGTGCACGAGTTCAGAGAAAAAGAAAGTAGTTATTCTATGGGCCATAAAACATCGTGGCAAATTCGCGCTCGATTTGGCTTCTTCGGCAAAAAGAAACCTGACACGGCGAATTCGTGATGAACTGCGGGACGAATTATGATTGTAATTATGACGGATAAAGAAATGCGCGCAAAAACAAAGCCGTTTCTCAAATCGTCGTTTGTTATCCAGTCACAATTATCAAATCTTTGAAATCATATCTATCAATTAACACGCAATTTTGATTTGATTTACAAAATTTGATTGGTAGAAAGGAAGTAAGATTGTCCAAATGTGTCAACGTTCTTAACGCACCAAATGCAATGACACACACAGCAACTGTTTTTTTTCCGTAACTCTGTATAATAATTCTTTCCCAGAAGACATCGCGGCAAGCGTAATCTTATAAAATCTCGGTAAACCGAGAGGCTTGTATCGCCTTAGAGAAATTCGAAGAACCGCGTAAAGAGATACTCCTTTCGTCCTTCGATAAGTTTTTAGCCCTTTGGCGTTTGCGCACCCAGCCCGTCTCAAGATTCCACCTCGCGAAGAAAGAGATTGCGGATGCGTGGTGTTACAGAGATGCGGAGGAGAGAGTGGGTGAGGAGGACGTAGGAATCGCGCTCGCACGAAAGCGGAGAACGCGAAGAGCGAGGCGGCGGAAGAGGAAAGAACCCTCGAGACGAAAGACAAAGCCGCCATTACTCTCGTCCTCCAGCTGACGGTGCGCGCCGTAAAGCTTCTAATTATTAATGTACCTGTTGTGGGATACGATCCCGCAGCGTCGCTAAAGAAAGCGACCGGACGAACGTGCAGCGGGACGATAATTATTACTATATTTTTGTGCATGGCCATTTCGTTCGTGTTTTCGAAATTTATCAAGAGCTCGTTATCACCGCTCGTTAATTTCTAGCCTTGGCTGAGAGCTCGCGAAGCATTCATTACGTTCGATTCGTCAGAATAAGGAGTCTGCGTAAAGTACGTATAGTAACAGATCTCGCTTAAAAATTTCCAAAAATTATTTCTACACCTCGGAGTTTATATTAAGGTCACTACTTAAACCTACATTTTTTATCTGGTGTGACAAAGTTCTGCGCTACATACATATTTCTGTTATTGTAAAAAATTTCACCTTTTCCTTCTGGCGCTTTGGTTCACATTGGCCCTTTCCTCTAATTTGTTATTTTTTTAACTGCATTCTCATTTGTTATTTTTTAAACTGCATTTTATACACTGAAAATGGTTTAAAATGAGACCGAAACGTCTGTTTCTTTGTAATTCGAATACATTATTTTGGCACTAAAACCTTGTCACGGCTCGTAGCCCTTTTAATTCATATCATTGCAGAATGATTCAATTTATACACGGAGAGAATTTTCTTTTAAAATTTATCCCGAAAATCATGTAATCGTGGAACAACACGGTATGAGAGTTTTGTGAAATTTTACCAGTAAAATGTATGATAAAATTTTCCAAAATTCGCATAAAGTTCTTCAAAATGCCATGCTGTTGCACGATTACGTGATTTTCAGGGTAAATTTTAAGAGAAAATTCTCTCCGTGTAATACCGCGCAATTAATTTACATAATAAAATATAACGATTTGCTACAGATAAAAACTCGAAAAACTCACACGTAAAATTCTTCCACTTCGATATCTGCAACAATATGCACACGCAAACATGAAATGGGTTTCTTTTAAATCGTATGTAATTCACATAATAAATCTAACGCATTTCGAATCTCCCAAAGAAGAGATGCGCGATCGCGTATTAAATCGATCGAAATAATTATCTCTCAACAACCGTAACTGCAATTAAACGCGATAGTTACAGCGCGTGAAACCGAAGTACGGGAGCGTGGAGTCGCCTTACATCATTATACGCTTGCGTTACCGGGTCGCAATACAAAGAGAGTATACTCGTGACTCGGTGCTCCGCGCCTCGAGTCGCTT